TTAAAATAGTTGAATAATTGTATAAGATAACACATATGATTGGTATAACAAGTTGGACTGTCAAATTCATCCCATATGGAGTGTATGATGCCATCTGTTGAGGGCTTGCGAGAGAATCGGACTGAAAAAAAAAAAAACGTGGTAGGGTTGGGGGCGGGAGAGAGAAGCGATTGCAGCGAACAAGCGTTGGAGACAGAAGGTTCTGAATAGTATAGGGATGCCCTGTTTTATCCGTAGTAAGGTCTAATTATTAGATTAAAAGAACATCCCATATGGGCTATATGATGCCATCTATTCATATAGGGCCCGTATGGGATGAATTTCAATTGTTATTTGTGGTGGAATTAGAAGCGAAAAAATAACGATTCTAATAGGCAAGCATTAGAAATTAAAATTAAAATGTCCTATTTTATCCATAAAAACAAAAAAAATAGATTTAAATAATATTTCCCATAATCATCTAGTCAAAATCGACAAAAGAATCGAATTAAAGAAATCATTCCCCACCTAAAAAAAATATTAATAGTATTTAGATAGTTAAAATATTTGTTATTATTTTTTTAATTATAATTCTATATATATATATTATTAATATATATAAATTATTTTTAATATTTCTAATTAATTTTATAATATGTATTATATTAACAATATATATTTTTATTATATTAACATATTATTTAATATATATATAATATATAATATAATAAAATCTAAATTTATATTTAATATATTTCTATTTATTATAATAAATATATTTCGTTTTTTTAAATATTTTATATCTATATATATAATTTATATTTATAATTTATGCATTATATTATATATATAATTATTTGTAAATTTATTATATACATACAATTATTAAAATATTAAAAATATCCTCTTCTATCCTTAATAAAGCAAAAATATTAAATATATAAATATATTCCATAAAATATATTCATATTATTAAAAATTTTATTCTCTTTTTATTAAAAATTACTAAAAATAAAAATATTTAATTTCTGAATATCATAATTTATTCAATTATTAAATTTTAAAAAATAACCTATAATATATTAATTAATTTATATTTATTTTAAACGATATTTTTAAAAAAAATATATATATAATTCATATAAAAATACGAAATCATAATTTATATAATGTCCCACCGTATTAAAAAATACCCTCTTCAATTCGACCACAATATTAAATTTAACCGTAATTACAATCTATTCTGGGTTTTATCATAATCTATTAAAAATCTCGTAATATTAATAATATATTCGTCACCGTCCCTCAAATTATGCATTTTTCATTATTAATAGATTATCTCTTTTTATCGTTTTTCTCCATCAAATTCTTTAAGAAATCTCTCGGAAAAATAACCCCCATATAACCACCCCCCCCCCATATATTCTTTATTCATTTCGTTCGCTCCAACAACCTCAAACCCAACCTACCGACTAACTTTCGTAATTAATTACCATAAATCAAAAATTAATTTCGTACATCTAACAATTTTAAAATAACTATTCTATTTAAAAAAATATTGTCAATTTATATCATATATCATAAAAAATTCAATTAATTATCTTCGTCTATATTTCCATCATCCCCACCATCACCATCATCACCTCTCTCTATCTTCCATATCTCTGGACCTTAAACCTGTAAACACACTGTTTCGGGGGTCTTGCCGGATATATTTTTGTGCTATAAATTATGTGGGTATATATATATATATATTTATATTATAGATATTAATTCTAAAAATATATTGGAATTGATTAATTTAATGTTGTTTAACTTTATCGTATCTGGAGATCATGGGCCCTGCACATTCGCGTCAGGGCCTTTATATTCCAGTGCGCGTTAACTGCATCGTCCGGACGGTGTTGCAATGTGCGAGAATGATTGGATCACAGAGTCCAAGCTTGGAGACAAAGGGCTCACGGTGATTCGAAACCACATGGCTAAAGGCAAGGGGAGTTCACCGTTTCACAGAGTCGGACGTCTGATTCTGCTCCTTACAGCTCTGAGTTGGGCTCTTTGGTGGAGAGATTCAGCCAAGAATGATTGCATATCGATTTGGCCAACCTGCAAAGGTCGGAGATATCTCTTATCGGTTCAATCAACACACCCGTTCGGGTCTTTTCAGGGCCCCGTTGTATCGAGAATCTGAGAGATTGAACCGTAAATTGTGATAGCTACGTTCTGTTGTGCTATCTTATTGTGTATGTTACTATAAACAAAGGGCAGGGACAAGTCCCGCAGCATGAAGCAACTAAGGCCAAATCCACCATAGCGTTCCATCCTTCACACACTTCAGGCCATTTCAGATGTCACAATCATTTCCTGGGCAGTTTGTTCTAATTACAAACACCTTTTGTTCTCCAGTCACTGGGAGACAATCAAGTTGCTCGTTACCTCTTGGATTGCCCCAGTCTCCGTCCACTCCGCTCTCAGCTTGGCAGCTCATCCGCAAAGCTGATGCGAACCTGCCTGTTTTGCGACGTGTGTTGGGAGCGCCGGTCAGCTGTGCTGGGCCGATCCACAGGATCTTCCCGCAGCACAGCCTTCGATCGTTTTGATTTGGTCAGCTGGGCTGAGAACAACCATTTCGCCACTTCTTTGGTCTATTTTCGCCACAACAGAGGGTTGATGACGCAGATAGGAAAGCACAAGTCACAAGTTGTTGTATGTTGTTGTGGGGAAAAGCAACTGTGTCTCAGACGGAATCCAGGATTGTCCACATCTATCAACAGCACACTGGACAATGTCCAGAAACACCCCCTTGTCTTTCAAGGGGCCATTGTCCACTTCCATGATAAATGGAGGGATGGTAAATCCACTAAAATGCTGTTCTTTGATGTTTTTTTGCTTCGATACAGCTCATTCGGTCGGCCAAAAGGGTCCCCTTCTCCCAGCCCTGCGCTCTTCCCGACCGCTCTGGGCGTCCCGACCGCCGTGGCGTGCCGGGATCCCTGGCACCATGAGTCGCGCCCCCCCCCCCACTTGTTCGGTTCTGGTGCAGTATGGTGTCCAGGTTGACTAAAGCCCCCTGAAACAAACTGAGTCATCTTCTAGGACCTTCTTGGCTGGGAAATTCCCTCCAGTCAACAGATCAACTTCCTCCTCCAGGACTTCTCAGCTTTTGTCTTTTACTGTCCTACGGATCATGACACTCCTCGGAACGCCCAGGAAAGACGACAAACCAACACCACCCACTTTACTCATTGGTAGGCAAACCAAACTGGCTTTTCGACTCAACTGCCGAAACATCCTCAGCTCATCTGGTGGCCCAAAAGTCCAGCACATGCTCACTCAATTGAAAACATCCCAGGAACCAAAACCACCAATGTTGTACATAAGACTCTTGGGGTGCCTGGGGTGTGACAAATCGAAACACTCTTCTCGGATGCTTCGCCTCAGTATGGGCTCCGGGAGAACCTCCGTCTCAAGTGACAGACCTCCACGTGAGATGACCTGCGCTTGGAACGACTGGCCGGCTGTGGGATAAGCGAAAAGTCGGAAGTCTTGTCATGATCAAAGTATAACAAAACTGTAAGATGCCCTGGCTCAAGACAGCTTAGGACGTAAATAGCTTCTCCTTGGTCGCGTGCGGGAGGTGTTTGCAACATGTTGCGAGCCCATGCGAGCCCTGCAGCACCTGCACATCGAAGACCACTGAAGACTACCCAACCACAGATCTGTTTCGTTCAAAAGTTAGCAAAGAGTCAAAACTTCAGATACAGGATGGTTGCACTCTTCCCAAGATAGAGAAGAAGTCCATGGTCCCAGAGATGGACTTCTTCGACTCCGGCCAAGGCAGGCTTGGCATCGGTGAGTGCTACAAGAAGGTCACCCCAAAATACAGAGAAGACTAAGACAAAAAGAAACTCTTCCCAAGAAGGTTGAGGTGATCGGATTGCTCCAATTGACATTCCACAGTTGCTCACAGGAGACAACCCATGTCACAAGGAAGCTGGCTGGAGAATACAGGAGGACACCCCATGCATGTGAGGAGTCCTTCATACGCACCCTACTCTACCAACAAGCTCAACACAAGTACATTTGCCTTGGGATGTGAACTACGTATGAATCACCCGATCAAACAGCCAATCACCGCGACTGCGACTGACCCGAACACGCTTCTTCGGTGCCTTCTCTCAGCGCTTTCTTGGAGAAAATCGCTTGGACGTCATTCATCTGGTCAATGGCATCCTGATACCATCGCAAGCCCAACAAGTGGAACTCCGACAAGTGGAGTTCACATGTTCTGCAAATGTTGCGGCCTGATAACGAGCACATGGATGTAGAGAAATTGTCCACTCTCATGGTGGAACAAATTTGAACAACCATTTTACAGTATGTGACAGTATGTGTTCTTTTTTCCGCCAATAAGGGCCAACGGGCCGACGGCATGTGAACGAGGACTTCCATGCAGCCAAAGAATCCTTGAAAGTCTTCTGAATATCTTTGGAGATCCTCAGCTGCGCAATCGCGTGCAGCTGAAGCGGCGATCTGCATCCCACTGCAGGTGCGAACAGGTGGCCATCACTACAGACCCTGCAAGGGGGAGCCCAGAACAGGTTCTTCCAGTGACTTCTACATGCCCACCGGGTCCATACTATGTCTAACAGAATCTAAAGAGGTTACTTGACAAAGCTTCAGTTCCGTATCCTCCCACGTCTTCTTCTGAGTGCAGTGCTTGTTTTAAAAAAGAAGAAGACCACCTCATGCGCCCATCACACCTGCCGGAGGGCTCATCCATTTGGCTTTCCAAGAGCTCGTCGGCGTAGAGCTCCCCTAGCATGTTGGCGCCAGCAGCTAAGCGGCCGCCTGGCCAGGTCACTTCAGACCAAGAGCTGTTCTTTGGGATCGAAGAATGGACTACTGTTGTGGAACTGATGTTCTCAACCCAACGCTGTCTGGAACAGACGCAAGAAATACCTCACGAAGCTGTTGTTGGACTAGACTTGTCTTTTTCAAGAAGGAGATAAACATGTTCGCATTATTCTTCATAACGGCTAATTGTGACGGTGAGTATATAAGCACAACTTACATAAGCATGTACCACGAAACAATGCCTCCATGTAGCAAGGTTCCCGAGCAGGAATCGCTGTTGGTCGTAGCTTTGTCAGGTCTAAACCCCTGACAATACCACAGTTTCAAGATGAGTGAATCATTAAAAACGTCGACTTCGAACCGTTTTCGGAGGTGGCTTTCCGTCGACGATGTTTCACCGACCCACACCGCGCGCGCGTTGGCGGGGCGCCGGTGCACCTGCCATCTTCTTGTAGCGATCGAGCTCAGCCTTCATCGTGACCATCTGTTGCTTCAGCTCTGCAATCCTCGGACTTTTACTGGGGCCCTATGAAAATTGCACCATGCACGATGCACCATGACACCGATTCCGAATCCCACATAAGTATCTCACCTTCTAAGGATGGAGATCCGACATAGCCCAAGTTGCCCGCCACACCCAGAAAGAAAGTTCCAATGTGTTCTTCAATTTCCCTCGTGCATATTAATGAACTCAATTCCTATCCAAGCCAAGCAGCAACAGCCATGAATGAAAAGTGGATAGAACAATTTGTTCAAAAAAAGTGGATTGTCCCACGATATGAGCTCTTCTGAAAACTTCAATAGATTCAAGCTAATCGAAGGGAGGTGTTGGTTTCTGACGTCCCTGGGTTTTGAGATCAAACGGCCGGCAGAAGATCTCCAATCCTTGGGATTTGGGGCCATCCACTCAGACCGCACGGCTTCCCCCCGGTCGTGTGGGATCCGCTCGTTCTTTCGCCCTCACGGCCACCTGAGGGGATCCTCCACGGAATCCGTGACGCGTGATCTGCACATGGTCCACATCAACCTGTCCGTTCTCATCGCTTCTCTGGAATGTGCCATGAGGAATTGTGCCATGTTGCACCATCCTGGTCTTTGCGTGTGTCCGAGACCGAGGATTGCTCCACCCAACGGCCATCACCGAGTGGCTCCGCTTTTTGTGATTCGATGATCTCGTCCTGGGGCCGTTCGGAGGTGGAAGGTTCAGAAGGTTCAGGGTCTGAAGGTCCTTTCACCTGGAGGTCCAACTGAAAGGTTCCTCTTTTATACTACACAAATCGAAAACTAACTCAAATAGATCTTAAAAACAACAAAGAACGTGGCCCCCGGGTGCATGATCGATCCTTTTTCTTGGTTTTGAACGGGAGAAGGGTGGGCAAATCCAGTTGAAGTGGAGAATCAACGGAATAAACTCAAGGACCTCCAACAAAAGAAGAACACACAAGAACTCAAAGAGAAGCTTCCCAGAGAGCGGAAGAGCGGAAGGATGCTTCTTTTCCTGAGACCTCTTGGTGCCGGGACCAGATGCGAGGTGATCAGCTCATCCCCTCGAAAAAAATGCATTGCATCCGTCCTTCTCCGCCAATTCCATGACGTGGGACACGCCCAAGACTCCGCCACGAGTCGCTGGTGAGGGCGGAGGGCGGAGGTCGATGGGTCAGGTGGGTGAGGTGAGAGGTGAGAGGGGTGTGTGTGTGTGTGACCCATGGATGAACGGAGGCTGAGGTTGGACCTTTAGTTTGTACATGTGCATATTTATATCTATCTATATATATATAGATAGATATATGATTATATGTGTGTATACATATTTGGAAACAAGGCGAAGTCTTGTTTTATATGATATGTACGATACATATATATATATATTAATATATAATCATTCATAATTGGAAACTAGGTGAAGTCAAGTAGGCGCTACCTCTGAAGTTACCTCTACTCTTCACTCTTTACAGGTTGTATATATATATATATACACAGTATACTATATATCCGCCGACCCCGGCCGACGCAAGGGGGAGCGCGCCAGGGAATAATGATAGATCCGCCAGAACTCAATCGTTTGGAGCAGAACTCAATGGGTTAAAGCCGTGGCGAAGGGGTGGTTTCAGATGCTTTTGGGAGGCTGGAAAGCTTTTGGCAGGCTGTTGGTGGAAGCTTTTTGGGAGGCTGGTTAGTGGTGGAAAATGCTAGCAAATTGTTTTTTTTCTAGGGATCCAGGGCGTCCGTTTGACACCGAACGTCCGAGGAATTGGAGCTCGTTTGGAGCAGAACTCAATGGGTTAAAGCCGTGGCGAAGGGGTGGTTTCAGATGCTTTTTGGGAGGCTGGTTAGTGGTGGAAAATGCTAGGAA